TGCGGCTGTTAACCTATTGAGAAGATGGCAAAAACCGAAGTGAATATATTTAGGTCCTCAGTTCGCTACTCTGTGCTACCTCTAAGCATGTCCTTCTAGATCCTTCTAGAAGCTACTTAATGTAACCTTATCTATCTAGACCAATGAGCTACTACCATTATGTCCGTAATCAGCATCCGTAATCATCCACATGCATTCAGCGGTGTAATATTAACAATCCCAGTGCTGCATCTGATTCTGAGTTTGCTGTATAACAGCACATTTATAAAAGCCATGTGAAAGGACCTCACATTACGAAATTATATACGAGGTACGCAATAGTATACATCGAAAGAATCTAAACATACGGCTCAGTGGGAGCTATGTACTGGTGATTCTGCATGAAATGCTGGGTAATCATGGATATGTGCATGTGTGAAACGAGCCAACGCGTCAAACCCGCGAAGCGAGCATCAAAAGACGCATCCGTCAGCACCGGAATTGTTGACATTATGAAGTGCCTGAGCAATATATTGGGTGTCAGCATAACTTTCACATGTGAGATACAGCCAAGCATTTGCGTGAGAAGGTTTTTTCGGCAGCATCTTATGACGGTGGCCATTGCCCCGAATCAAGGTTCAATCTAGACCGCGAAGTTCTGGTAGACTTCTTCAAGTTGTTCGGCACCATAAAGGTATGTTGACGGCAGACAATGCACAAACGGATTATTTCACAGAACAAATTGTCTGTGGAACTCGCGGTATGTTTGCGAGGTGATAGAAATCTTCTGAGACCTTACACATTGAGACCGCAGTGTAGAAGCTTAATGCTTCAACACCTTGGCTTTGCATTGAAAACCCACCTTGCATATTATTTGACATTACATTTTACACAGATGGTTTGGCTTACTCTTATCCAGTTATCGCCGCCACAACGTGGTTTGAGTATCAATGGCGAGCGGCTGTCGATACATGTTTCCAAAATGTTCAGTTGCGCGTTGTACAGTCCTTGCGGTACAACAAGCTACTCCACGAAGATACCGCCAGGGGTACTCCCCGCAATGAGGAGAATATCGCTGTCATTTAGTACCATTTGAAGTAAGCGTCGGTCCAACTAGGTGAATGAGCAAAGTGCAGCCGACCATACTGTTTTTCAGAGAAAGGCGTTTTCGCCAATATCTGACCTCATTTCACTTATTAATAAAAGGATCATGGTCTTCATGCTTTTCATGTAATCTGGTCATATTTGAATTCAGTTTCAGAGAAAGGCAGCATTTAGGCAATCAAGCTCCCCATTTAAAGCCTCAATATAACCGCTGGCAAGTCCCTGTTGCAAGACGCACGGCATATCATATTTGAAATAGGTATTCTCACTATCTCCACATGCCGACTAGCTTCGAGAGTTGTGCATGCATGATGCTTCTAAATCGATCGGGCAAATCATGACTTCTCAAACCCCTGAACCTTGCTGTTGACAATCAACAACTTTGGGCTGTGATAATCAGTTCTTCGAGTAATAGCTGCTCATTTCAGAGCTGGATTCTATAGACCCCCAAACTACGCGAAGTTAATAGGTCGCCCTGCGCCTTCCATGACTCGATATTTACTTGCGAGGGTATCGCTGAGCGTCCCTGCTTGGATAACCAACCCTTCAAACCTCACTTAGAATCGAAAAGGGCACGCAGGATGCTGATGTTTGTAACTACCATAGCTGTTGTATTTGCATCTATCACGGCATGTATGTCACGCTTAAATAAAGAAGTGCAGAAATTCAGTACATAGTACTTGAGAATCTCTATGTTTGACGCTTGAGTGGCGTTCTGTGAGTCCATCCTATGTGTGTCAATGATCGTCGAATCAAAGCCAGGTTGCGTAATATGCACGGCGACCCCGTTGTACCAAGTGCATTGCGGAGTTTATCTTGTGATATCTCGGTAAATGATTTATGTGTTTCTACTTCTAGTACTACTACATAAGAGTAGTACTAGAGGTAGAAACATATAAATCATTTACTACAGAGTAATATTACATTTCTAGTTAGTCAATAAGAATAAGTGCACTTAAAATCTAGTGAAAATTTGAGCCTTGCCTTTTGTAAACGTGACGATATTTAATAAATTAGCAATGTACACTCCTTGAAAAGTATCTAATCAATCTGTAGCGTGAGACCTGTCATCACACTATCCCAATGTCGGTTAAATTCTCTTTTGTTCACACCGAGAGTTTTAAAGTGGAATAGGATAATCCAAAAACCTTACCTTGGCTCTAGTTGACTTCAATCAGGACATGATGCCGAATCGTGTGCATTCACGTAGATTTGCGCAATTTGCAGTTGCCGCTGATATGTAAGATCAGCGAAATGGTCAGCACAGCCGGTGGACGTCAGTACATTGTAGAGTCTTTTCTAAGCTGAAGCAGTAATTGCCATTCACTTTGCCTACAGACGACATCTGTAATGGCAGGTATTAAAAACATACTGTACGAACTGCTTAATATGTTTATGTATTTTACACGCTCAAATCCCTATTTTAAAAATTTCTGCGCAAGAAAGTCTAAGTTACTTCTGCGAGCGCTTGGACGCCATGGTAGAAGAAAGATCAATGATCAGCACCGGTACGACCTTGTATACCCTGAAAGTAGATCGAGGTAGGAAGCGTGCGCATGTGTCGCTCAAGATTCGTGTTTTGTCAGCTCGATACAATACTCGCATCCTGCATCGGATAGTTGCTGTTTTATTTACAGAGCGGCACCTGTACACACATGGCACAAATACCAACGATGTTATTGTGAGCTGTTGCAGACAGAACGCAATCGACGCAGCAGAAGCCCGTGGTGCGCGGTCGATATGCCAAATTCAACGGCTCTATGGATGTGGTGCTTCTACAAGCACTGCAGCTCAATAATCCCTTCACAGCCAAGCATGGCACGAGGCTGCAAATGTGGCAGCACATTGCTGAAGCTGTTGGCTTGCAGATATTCAACAATCCAAACGCCTTTTCATGGCACACGTGTCGGTTCGTTGAGTTGTATTTGATTTATAATGCAAGTGCTAGTATTTCTTACACTTGTGTTATTTACCCCATAGTGACCGAGTGACGGCGTTGATGAAGATGTATACAGATGGAAAGCACGACAAACTATTTAAGCACGGAACAATGGAGGAAAATGCACAAAAGGAATCTATTTTGCGTGAGATCAACGAAACTTTACTTCGAAAGAATCACAAAATGGCAGGTCAGGCGGATGGTAATGGAAAGGAAAAAGCTGCTGTAACGATAAGTGAAGGTACAGGGTTTAAGTCTGCTGCTTCTTCTATGATTTCAGGGCAGAAACGACGAAAATTGGAGAATGTGAGTGGCAAAGTATCTGCAGCTTCCGACGTCGATGACATTAGCGACAGCAAAATCTTTCGTGCACGGGTTCTGGAGCTTATTGAAAGCAAGATTTTGTTTGACAAAGATCAGCAACAAAAGGAAACAGTACTTCGAGAGCAGGAGTTGGAGCTGCAAAAGCAGTTTTTGGACTATTTACAGACAAAATAGTGTATTGCTTTTCGCGCTGACCTGGCAACAATGAACATTTTTTTACCATAACTCGTTAACTCTTGCATGCTTCATTGACTTGGCGCTAACGCGAGCTTCATGGGCGCAGAATTGCGTGTCAAAGAACAATGAAAATAAACTTTGCTTGAAGGGAACTTCAAGCGCTGTCTAGTATTTTGGTCTTTTCTCCGGACTCTGTTAATAATATGAATCCTTTTTCACAAATTTAAGTTTAACATTTCTGGCATTTGTAAAGCTTTTTAAGAGATTTTATATTTTTAATTTATGTGGTGGACACACTCATTGTTAAGAAACAATGGCAGAGCTCCCAGAGATCGACATGCCTTACGACATGGACGTGTATGAACCAGCTGAAGACACGTTTCTATTTCTTGACGCATTGCAAGAAGATTTACCTCAGATCGTTACATTGGATCCAGCAATTTGCGTGGAAATTGGGTCATCTAAATTGTCGTTTTGCTCAATTTGTCTCGAAACGTCTGATCCACTTTTGATAATTGTAGATGTGGAAGTGGTGCAGTCTTTGTGTACTTAGCGACGCAACTACAAAAGTTTGGAACAAAAGGAATGTTCCTTGCGACAGACGTTAATCCATTAGCGGTGAAGGTCGCACAACAGACGGCACAAAAAAATGGAGTGAAAGCATTCGATATCGTGCAGACTGATTTGCTGCAGTGCTACAAACCACGACTACGGGTACAATGCGACGAATGTACAGCTACGAGCATTTTGATCAGACAATGCTTGATATGTTCCTAGAGACAAGTCGACGTGTTGCTATTTAATCCGCCTTATGTACCAACTTCTTCAGAGGAGGTCGGCTCGTTGTAAGAAAGCTACGCGCAAAGTATTTTTTGAGCCATCAGTTGCCATTAACAAACAATCTGTCCTACAGAGGAATTGAAGCCGCGTGGGCGGGTGGACACAATGGACGTGAAGTAATCGACCGATTATTGCCTCAAATCAATGAACTCATGTCACCAGCAGGAGTATTTTATATGGTTGTGGTGGCCGAAAACAAACCCAAAGAAATTGCTGCGATTCTTGCAAGAGACGGCTTTTTAATGAAGGTAGGCGTGTAACTTGGGCCATTTATCTGAAATTCGCTTTTTGTGCTGAACTATACCATTGAAAGGTTGTCCGTTCAACTAGGGCTAAAAACGAGCGCTTATCTATCTTAAAATTTACCCGAAATTGTGCTAGAACAATTGTTTCGAAAATCACCTCTTAAGAAGATTTGCGCCTATCGGGTTCACGTAACAAGCGTGCTGCAGCTGGTGTACAAATCGTATTCCAGCACAAACACTGAAACTGGTTATTTTAGAAGAGTGGACCAATACTTTGTGTGCCAGTCTTGCACGTTCAGATGTGTTTCTGACACGAAATTACACTTTCAAAGTCTGGATGAGCACGGAAAAGGTATGAAATATGTGAGGTCTTTGTGATTTGTGATTTTATCAAAGCTGCTAGTCTTTAATGTGCAAGCGATCCCAAAGCGATGCACAGAAATGCGTCGTGTCGTCCCCCAGCACTTGATATTTGACATAGAGCCTTGTCATGTGATTCTGATTGTTGTCACAAGGACAGTAACGACTTTCCCTTGTAGAGGTATCGGAAACATCAGTAGTTACTTCAACAGTAGTGCACAAGCTCTCGCTGCCCTCATTGCTTAACGGCTGGTCTTTAGTGCTTTGTACCTCACCACAGCGGCCATCTAAGTCAAGCACTTTTCATATTTTTTCCATATGTCAAGAAACGACGCTGCATATCTCTGATACGCCAACACATCTATTCCTCAATCGCATTGATTATGTTTCCATTGGCTCCTACTTTGATCTACCACGCTTTAAAAGGACTCAAAGCAAATACATAGTACTGGAGATGATCAGGCGCGTAAACGCCAGGCTGTAACAAAATTATGCTCAAAAACCGGATGACAAACTGTATAGTCTCCAACAAATGAGTCATGAGCTTCTCGGCAAACAAAAAAAGACACAGTCATAGGAATTACTGGGAAATGAACATAATTAAACAAAAAGCTTATTTTTACTTCTTTTAGTGTTATCGTCTGCATTGTTATCGCAAGATCGGACATTGGCCGCCTAGTTTCGTTCTGATCCAGACGGCAACATTTCGACTCTTCTGACCATTGAACGTCTAGAAAATATGAATGCATCCTTATATTTTCACGCTTTCTGGATAATGCCGCATTTCGTACGGATTTTTATGTCTGAGCCTTTGCAAGAACGGTGCTGTACTTTATAGCCCACCATTACTGCCAAACCACACTGAAATCCAGAAGCCATCTGGTCATTGCTGAATGCTCACATTGGCGGTTATCAGCAACGTCCTGCAATATGATTGGTTCATATGTCTAGCAAAATTTGACCCAAAAGAAAGCAGAAAACTCTCAGCATCATATATACTACGAAACCGCTTTTAAAACTGCATTTACATAACGTTGATACAAGCATGTAATATCGTATATTCCTGTCAATTATTATGCAATCAATCTGAAAATCTTCTGTTCTTCGGTACATTGTGCTCAGAGCACAAACCGGAGAAGGGGGACAAGGCAGAGCAAAAGAAGGAACGCAAGCGGAAGCTCGTGACCATGTCGAGCAGCGGCAGCATGCGCAGTCCCATGCAAGGCGGCACCATCAGTAAGCGATTCAACAAAGCGCGAAGACGTGGAAATAGTCAGGGAGAGTCGCTTAGTAGTAACGCGTTCGGAGGTATGAGTCCCGTAGACAATTTAAGCAACAACGGACGCAACACGATCAGTTTTGGTAAACCTGCGCTTCCCTCCTCACCTGCAACAGCACCAGGTCATTATTTGAACGCTCTGAAAGATGATGCGTCGGGATTTGTGTCCAGCAAGACGGGATTTCTTACGAAACGTGCCATGTCAAGCATGGACGCTTTTGCTAACTGGAAAGAGCGATTCTTTGTGCTAGCAGAAGGCCATTTGTCTTATTATAAGCAAGGTGGAGGCTTTTTTAACACAGGCAAAGAGGATATTGTACATTTAAAGGGTGAATTGGAGCTCACACCAGATTCTATTGTACGAAAGAGCAATATTGACGACAAAGCCAATTGTTTTGAGGTTGTAACCCCTACAAAAAAGATGTTTTGCCAAGCTAGTACTGCCAGAGAAATGGAGGATTGGGTCAAATCAGTACGTGCGCACATTGCGGTATTGAAGAAGAATCAAATGCGAGGTAGCTTTCACGATGTGGCACCTGTAAACCTCGGAGCATCAGGTGGACCAGGAGTTACGGCTGGATTGAACGGGTTGCTTCAGGCAAACTCCATGGAGACGGACTATTCACGGCCCAGTATGTTGGAAGACCATGAGATTGTGCGTAGCGCAGACAAGTCCTCGGACCCCAAAGATATTGTTATCAAACAGCTTTTGGAGGAAAACCGTTCATTGCGCGAACAATTGACTATGAAAGACCAAGTGATTCACGAACTTGAGACAAATGGAGGACGATCCGTGGACACGCTCTCGGGAGGTGCAGGCAAAGCAAGATCAACAGCGCCACAAATGATTTTGGATCTAAGGGATGTAAAGAAAAAACAGTTCCAATTGTTTGACGCAGCGGAAGTCGGCAATTGGCATCTGATTGCGACATTATTGCGGGATAATGTCATTGATGTGAATGGTGTGGGCATTAACCAGACGACAGCGCTGCATTTGGCAGCACGGAACAATCATTCAAACGCTGTCAAGGAATTGCTGACTCGTGGAGCAGATCCGTCCGCACGGACGGGCGATAGCTATACAGCATTGCATGTTGCTGTCCAAGCGGGCAATGTTGAGTACGTTTTGATTCTAAGCGGTGTATTGTTCTGATTACTGATACATGGACGTATTATCCTAGGTGTGTTAAAGAACTACTTGATGCAGGTGCAGACCCAAATGTCACGGACTATCAGGGTAATGCTGCTATTCACATGGCAGCAGAGTCAGGAGATATTCCTACGGCCAAACTCTTGGTGGCACGTGGCGCACGGATCGATGCACCAAACGCAAGTGGCAGCCTTCCAGTGCACTTGTCTCCGATCGGCCATCCAATTCGTGTCCTTCTTGGCAGCGGTGCAAACTTGGCTGCGACGAACCCATCGCAACCCCCGAAGCCACGGAACGAAATGGCTGCTCGTGAAGGAAATGCAACACAAGCGAGTCATTTGGCATTTAAAAACAAGTACCAACAGGATCTGGCACTTGGTCCTCGTGATTTTGAGTTTGTCAAGGTGTTGGGACGTGGTGCTTTTGCTAAAGTTTATTTGGTGCGTGGGAAGGGTTTGAACCGCGATAAGTGGTATGCTCTCAAGGCGTACAACAAACAGGCTATTGTTCAAAAGAACCAAGCGCAATACATCCATACAGAAAAGGCTGCATTGCAGGCGTGTTCGGATCACCCGTATATTGTGACACTTTACTTTGCTTTCCAATCTCAAGACCGTTTATTTTTAGTAATGGAGTACTGCGGTGGTGGTGACTTGCTTTCGGCGCTCACTCGACGAAAAGCATTTACTGAAAGCGAAGCAGCTTTTTATATTGGTGAGATTGCGCTGGCCTTGTCGCATCTTCACTCGAAGAATATTGTATTTCGTGATTTGAAGCCGGAAAATGTGGTGATGGACTTGGACGGGCACTGCCTTCTGACAGACTTTGGAATCTCAAAAGAAGGGATTAAAGATCACACGTCTGCAAATACGTTCTGTGGATCCCCCATGTACCTCGCACCTGAGATGCTGTCACGTTCGGGTCATGGATTTGCTCTGGATTGGTACTCGGTAGGTGCTTTGCTCTTTGAGCTGCTGACTGGTTTACCTCCATTCTACACGAACGATAAAAAGCAACTTTTTCACAATATTCTGCGTGGCCACTTGGTGATCCCAGAGTATTTGTCGCCCAACGCTCGCGACCTGATTCAGCGATTATTGCACCGAGACCCGAAGCAGCGATTGGGATCCGGACCCACGGGCGACCGTGAGATTTTTGATCACCCGTTTTTCACGAGTGTGAATTGGGAAAAACTCAAAGCGCGCGAGTTACCACCTCCATTTCAGCCAAAGATTAAGAAAGATCCATCTGGTGTACCAGATACGTCGAACTTCCCGCAAGCGTTTACGGATCAGGAGATTTCTGAAATGGAGCGAGGTTTCGATCTCGTAGATCCAAATGCAGCTCAGGTACAACGTCCGAATCCAAATGGAAACAAAGATGACAAACGTTTGTTTAAAGATTTTGACTTTACACCGGAGCTACAGTTGGACAACGAGGCGAAACAATTTGAGCAGCTTGCGCTTCAACAGAACAGTTTCAAAAACCTTCCGCCACCAGCCCTACTTGAAACGGACGAATACAGCATCTAAATGGATTCTGAAGATGTAATGGGTTAGTGTATGCTGATAGCAGAAAAGAGTGGAGATTGCTCGTTGACTGCACGGAGAAAGAACTATGATGCATCGAATCACTAGGGAAGCGAGAGCGCTTGATTCGGTAGGGGATTGTAGGAAATTGACTTTGCAAGAAGTGATGTACAATTTGCTTGAATTTGAAACTGAACTCTAACTATAACTCAATGAGTTGGATCCTTGAATAGGCTCACAATATAATAATTGGTCATTAATAAGTGATATGAATAGGTTCTTAGCACTAATAAGATTACCTGGACCTCTAAGTATCTATCTGATGGAACAGGTTTTGTTACAACTCCATTAAGGCTCTTTCTTGACTCATGCTGTCGCCACTTCAGATCTTGAGACATTTTACATATTATAATTACTGCATCAACCAAAGGTAGTATGACTACGACAAAAGCTTGGAGGCGAAGTATAAAAAGCTTCTCGCCTTTGAATGCGCTTTGTTGCCGACCAGCAGATTCAAGCGCCAAGTTGATATCATCGATTATAGGCTAATCCTAACCATCACATTCAGTAGTGTTCGCTAAGTGCACTCAGCGGTCAACTAAGTAAATGAAACTGGTTTTACGACGTAAAAATGCGATGGAATTATTCTGACTTATCGACAGCTGAGATGCAAGCCTTCTTCGACATAAATTCGCAATGTACCGTTTCTCCGTCATGTTTTGTTCCAGAATTGATATCTGTACAATAACATCTATCGGCTGCTCGTAATAAATGTAATCAAAACAGTCTTCACTCGTAACTTATGCAGCGTCAAAATGACCGAGTCATTTAAGTCTGATGAAGCTTTATCAAACGTAGATGTTTACGATAAATCACTTGATATCTAGCAACAAAACATCAAACAAATGTCATCTGTGCTGCCAATCCGTTGTATGTACTACGATAATGCGTTTCTGTTGCCGTGAGGATGCTATGTCAACTTCCTTCGCAGATTTGTTGCCTATTTATCGAAGCAAAGGGGCTCGTGAGGCGTTATAAATACCAGTAGTGGTTTTATTCTAGTCTTGCATGCATAAATTAGAAAGTTCTATCAGCTGCATAATATCTGCCCAGTAGTTTAGTGCTGCCTTACTAGATAGTCACCTCGTTTAGGTGCTGACATGTGCGGCATGCAAGCATATGTTGCTTGCTATTACAACGTCATGTGCAAATTTAAAGTTGGCACGGTTTCTAATCAGCCAAAAAATCTTACAGGACTGGTAACCAAACATTCTTCATCTGCCAGAATGTATAGCATCTATGAAAGATAGATGATAACTAAATTGACGTGCTCGCAAATGATCAGATCATTTATATGAGCGACGAACTTGATGAACATCAGGTTTGTCGCCCAAATTTAAGGCACGATCAATATAAGCCTTTCGGCTTGAAAAGTGCTGCAGGATGCGGTGCCAGGAATTTCAGCATTTCAGGTTGCCAATTATCATGTTGCTGATAGTGATATTTCTTCTCATTGGTCCCGCGAGTAAGTCTAGCGTGAGCTCGGGAAATCACAATAGCGCTGCCACATCTTAAGCGCTCAAAATTTTGATGCAAAATACTATTGGTCTTCTCATGTTCAAAAATACTACCTAAAATAAAGCAAGCGTGTGTAGAAGTCTATTGTTCATGGATGAGCCAAAGGTCTCGTAATTACTGAGCAGTTTGAAACCACGATATGTGAGTGGCATCTGCTAGTGCGCGGCATGGAGCTGTGAAATCGAGAGCTCACATCGCATACGATACTGATAGGTAATTTCACAGCGGATTTTGCAACAGCTTTGATTATGGAGTTACAGAAAATTTTACGGCAATGGGTCGAATATCTTAAGATCATTGTCAAACCAAGTCGAGAACTTCTTTTTCACCATACCGCAGTTACAATGCTAGCAAAATTTGAGGAATTGATTAAAATTGCATTAATACTGTTCCAAACAGATGCTAATGTACGTGTTTATGGTGTCAAGAGTACAACAAACATGTCCTTGACTTTGACCATAATACAACCGGGACAGTCGTAGAGGTTGACCAGCCATAAGTTCTTTACCGAATGGTCTAATAGATATCTTCAAGAGTTTACGCGACAGCAGGATAGCAATGTTTACATGTGTGGATCATGAGCTGTGCAGGGAGATTGAAGTAGTGCACAGCTCCTTCATGCATTTACTGGATTGCAAACGGGCAACAAAATTGACTGTCGTCTATCCAAATTGCCGGTCGCATCATTTTAAGCTGCAAAGAAATTATGAGGAACTAGCAACGCAAACAATGAAACGTTGCATCCGCACGTTTGTCGGGAACGGCGATAAAGAGGATACAGGGACATGTCACTCATGATCAGGATATGCAAATCGAGCTTTGCATAATCGGTTCCTGTCATTCATTATGGGGCAATCTGCTACATCATGTGCAATTCATCCGAGAGACTTGCTCGTCCATCTTCATATCCAATATGGCCAGCGCAAATGCAAGTCGTGTATTCGTGTATTCGTGCTCGGTACAATCGCCTAAACTTTGACAACTACTAGTAACAGCCCATCAATAAGATCGGCTGCCTTTTCACCACGTGTCCGTTTTGTCTCAAGGGTCGCTTAGGCAGCTTGATAAGCATCTACTAACCGCTACATCCATAACGGTCCCAATGCCGGTACAAATTTATTTGCTAGTCAAGGTCACAAGGTCGTTTTAGACATAGTGAGATACATTTCAAATCAGTTTATCTTTCGCCGCGTTGTGCGCCACTTTGTCACGCCAGCAGCAAATTTCCTGCAGACGTCTAAGCACACCAGCCGAAATGTGACGGGATATAAGTCCTTCGCATATTGTAAAGGCCAGACTTGACTTAAATTACAAAATATTAAGGTAAAGTGTCTAATTTAAGCCGTTACGAAAAGAAAAGGGCCAGTTCAAGAGGGCCTCTTGTCGCGGCGTCGCCAAGAGACGTGCAGATCCGTCCAGGTGTCGCTCGCCTTTCATGACTGGCGCCAGGAAAGAAACTGACACCCTATGGGCCTCAAAAAATACTTATCACTTCGCAATCCGCTGCGCGCCCCTAAGAAAGACTTTTACTCAAAGCGACGCCTATCAAGTCAAGTCATTCTTCCGTTTCAAACTATCTGAAAGGGAAAAAGTATCCACGATCACACAACCAACTCACCTTTGCAAGTCATCTCTCCCTTTCACGGCGTTGAAGTCGCTGGATTCCAGTACTCGAACTTTTCACGAAGCACAAGACGACGACAGGAGAGGCGACATTGTCCTTAACCTGTCTCGCGTCTCTAACGCCGCGTCGCACTCTTTACTCTGATTGGCTTAAGCGGATTTCTGCGTGTCGTCAATAGTCAAGCCCATACAAGAAAGGCAACTTGCTTTGACATATTCATTCTCAAAACTGCCGCGTCATCCGCAATAAACATCAACTAATTGTCAAACAATGGAACCACCAAGTCACGCGCGCCTTGTAGCAATGCGCTTGCTGAATGCCTCAAACACGCCTGAAAGGCAGCAAACGGCTGCAAAGTCGTCGCACTTGTGTCTGTCTCCTACTGATCCAAGCGAGGATCCATTAGCTATGGCTTCGCCCGTACTTACTGGCAAGGCAGTGCCCGTCACGTCGCCTGATCCAGCCAAAAAGCCGCTGCCTGGCCTACAATTTGCCATCTCAGCTCAGCGCGCACCTAATCGCGAACTGCGCTTACCTTCGTTTTCTTGTCCGTCATATGAGCTGGAAAACGCCTCGTTTGCTACTAGCAGCGCGGACGAGGAGGATACGGAACAGGTACAGGAAAAGGCTACTGTTTCTCAGAGACGGAAAAAAGGTTCGCGTCGTGGTACGCTTCATCCAGAAGCCAAAAATGTTCTCAAAGCATGGATGTTCTCGCCAGAACACTTCGCTCATCCTTACCCAAGTGAGGAAGAGAAGGAAGAACTGGCAAACGAAGCCGGTATTGAGGTTAAACAGCTCTCGAACTGGTTTACTAATGCCCGCAAGCGGCTCTGGCAACCTGTGCTTCGCCAGTCAGGCGTTGAAGTTAAAAATTTTCTATCTACAGGACGTGGCGGCCCACGCGGCAACAAGCTAGACGTTCCGCTCAATCTACATCAAATGGTATCACAGTCACCTGCTCCAAGTCCACCGAACTCGCCTAAAAAACGCTCTTGGTCGGTCATGCAAGAAAAGTCAACGCCTTCTTCCACAACTGCGGAGCCTTTTGATGCAAGTAAGAATTCTTCGGCTTTCAAACGCGTTAAAACACGCAACAGTTTGAGCACTGACGTTTCGGCACCTCAGCTGCACGATCTTGAGCTTCTAGCCGCAACCTCACTTTTGAGGCTACAACACGTGACTCAGTCAGTGCATTAACGTGACAAGCTGTGATTATTTGTTTGATATTTATTTTCCACATGTAAGCCATTTGAAATAAGAAGTACAGATAGAACATTGCATTCTTCAGTCATGAATATTTTTAACTGTTCTTGCATAATATTTTCTACGGTTTCATGCGCTGAGCTTTACGAGCTAAGAAACGGGCTCGAGCAGCATCGATCGCATCCTCTTTGTTAAGATTCGTATTTCTCGAGCTTTCTTGTTGTGTTGCTGAAGCATCCAGATTTGCGTTAGAAATCTCGTGTGCAAATAACGTTTCTTGGGGCAAATCAACCTGTTGCCTCATCTGCTCACTTTCCCTGGTCTTCTTAGTCGCAGGTTCAACGCACAATCTGTCCGTTGATGTTGTTCCAATATCATGATGACGCTTAAAATCGTGTCCGTTCTCTGGTTGGTCCGATTTCTTTCTTGTAGCCACATCGTTTGGTGCCTCCTTAGCTGTATAAGCACTTTGCGCATTGTCGGTTGAACCTCCCATTGCGATGTTTTTGTTGAGATTGGCATAAAAACCAGCCATTGCATTCTCGCCCTTTATAGTGACGTCTTCTCGTTTCTCTAGAGCATCAAGACGCGCATCTTCTGCGTCCCAGCGTTGCATCTCCTGCAATTTTCGTTTATATGATGCAGAGATGAGTTTTTCTTTATCTCCGTACAGTGCATCGTCAGCCTTGCGCTCATGAAGTAGTCGACGTTCACGAATCCGTTCGTTTTCAACCTCTCGAATTTTAGCCTGTTGCAGCAATGTGCTTATATATTTTGGCTTCTTTTTTTCTTCTTCTCTCTTGACTGCGCGTTTTCCAGCTTCTGAGTCTCGTGTGCTTTTCATTTCGTCGTACACACTATCGTAATCAAATACCGTCGCGTCTTCGGCCAGAGCTTGTGCACGTAGCTTTTCCACCTTACTCGGCGGTACGCTACGAGCAGCTTCAGTTCCCACTTGATGTCTTGCATCCTGTTTGCTGTCTTTCAGATTTGCTCTATTGCTCTTCTCTGCTACATCAGCGAAAACGTTAAAGCTTTTGGAGAATTCCTAACAGATTGGTACATAATTGTCAAAGTAAGGCTAAACAAAAAATCAAATGCTACTCGGACACCTTTTTCTTTGAATCTCTCTTCGGGAGGATGAGACCGTACTGTTTGGTTGTCGGAGCCTTAGGTGGAGCAAGTGGCTTCTGCTTGCTCTTAGTAGCTGGTAGCGTCATTGAAAACGTCATTTTTGTCTAATCTTTCCATCTTAGATACGACAATTTTTTTAATTATTTAAGAAATAGTTCTGAAGTAAACAAATAAGTCAATATAGTGAACTTTCATCGATGTTTGATTTGTGAATTCCTACGCTTTCGATATTACATTAAAGTATGGGAATTACTCATCCTTGGACGCAGCGTGAGCCTTCTTTTGGGCAACGCGAGCCTGTCGCTGCTGACGCGAGCGCTTGGCTGCACGCTTGTACTTCTTGTCAAAGGTGTGATCTTTCTTAGGGGCAGGAGATGGGTCAGCACGAATGGCTTCATGCACCTTAGTGATCAAATCTTCGAGATTGTCTGGTTCAATTCCTGCCTTGACGTATTCAGCGTAATGCGAAGCAAGCATTTCCGGGTCGTCCTCCTCAAGCTCCTTCATGTGATCAGAGATATGGACGGCAAAGATACGGTCGCGGTGCACCTCAGCATCGTAGCTCTTGTCATCACGGCTGTAACCAGGGAAGCGCTTTTCGCTGTGCGGAATGTCCAAACCAGCGTCAGCAGCACCCTTTAGGGCACCGAACACACGGTTACCAGTTGTAGTAGAGCGCAGACCACAGTCCAAGTAGCAACGGAAAGGACGCTTCTCGTCAGCTACTTCATCTACAAAGTAGGTACGGCCATTGCTTTCTGTCTTGACAATTTCGCCATCAACTTCAGTATTTCCTTCATAGTCCTCGTCCAAGCCAAGCTTAGCTAGCACACGACGGCCAACAAGTAGACCCGTGGCATAAGCAGCGGCATAGTTCTTCAGGCCGACGCTAAGGCCATAGCGAGGAAGTTCAGCCGAGGTGGCCTGGGCCAGAATCTTGTCGCCATCGATCTCAGCATACGCAATCTGACAGATGATCTTCTTGTTGGTAATGCGCACTACAAGACGGTACTTGGGGGAGTTGTACTTGTTTTTGTCTTGTGTAATAAGACGCTTACGGGCGCGGTAGTCCGTCTTGCCTTCACGGCGACGACGAAACTTAACCTGGTAACGCTTAAAGTACGCTTTATTCTTAAGGACCTTAACGAACGGCATCCTTACTCAATGAAAGTTCTAAACTGACAGGGGCAATTTGGCTGGCTGGTCATTGCTGTGAAAACTGCGGATACATTCATTTGTGATGGAGAGCTCGGTAATGATAATTCACAATGTAATAAAAATCTTGATATTTTACAACCAATCCAATATTGCTGTAGGACTATTCGCCTCAATCATTGGATTATAATATTTGCTTGCGGGTAGGGCTGGGATGACTGGTTCTAACATCCAAGGCAAAAGGCTCAGTGGCCACGCCTCTGTTTTATTAGTACGTTTGGCGTTTTATCTTTCCTCTGCAATGGTGCGTTCAATAAGGCGACCCTCTATTCTGTTTATACTAACGTAAACGCTGTGTTATTGCTGCTTAAATGGTCACCAGACTTTCACTCGCTTTGTTTCGATTGGCCGTGTAGTACTTATCAACTACGGTCCCGATGCCGGCAAGATCGCCACAATCATCGACGTTGTTGATGAGAACAAAGCCCTAGTCGACGGACCTTTCAGTGTCACGGGCGTGAACCGTCACGTGATCAACTTTAAGCGTTTGTCACTGACTGACCTGACGGTTGACATTCCTCGCCAAGCGCGCGAAAAGACGCTTAAAAAGGCTCTGGCGAAGGCAGACACGCTTGCCAAATGGGAGGCCTCTACGTGGTCCAAGAAGATTCAGAACAAGAAGACACGGGCCGAGTTGAACGACTTTGAACGCTTCAAATCCATGATTGCGCGCAAACAGAAGAACTCATTGATTAAGAAGGCCGTTGCTACCGCCCGTAAAGCCCACTAAGCTGCGAAGTTTGGCCTAGTAATTTACTGTTGGGTGCTTGAAGGTTATGGCAGCGGTATCACTGCATATTGAAGCAGATGCAATAGTTGCGAGTAGATTCTGCGAGCCTTGTGGAACAATAAACGTCCTTATTGGTTATTTCGCTGATAACATTACTTCGAGACGGTGACAAAGCATTTTTTGGTGGGGCCTTTAATCGGATATCATTTTGTCACGATAGCTTCTACATAAGTTTGTATAAACAAGGTATCTACTCTTCTAGGATTGCACTTTGCTAGCTAATACTAGAGCCCCAAGTCCTGCATTTAGTTTGCTTTTCAGAAGTCCACTATCGATTTCGAGGCACCGATTGAAGCCACAAGACAATATTCACTATGAAACACTACTGACGTTGATTTTGAAGGCAAGGATTACAGCACTAAAAAGACCACATTACCGTCTATCCATAACGCTCCGGAAGACAAAGACAGCAGCAATTTCGTGTTGCACCTGCAATCAAAGTGCTACAGCTACCATAAAATGCAAAATCTAACAAGCAGCTTTCTTGATTCGTTGTCGATACCTGTCTAGTCTTTGCATGGAGATCAATTCGCAATCTCATAATTATTTTATAATATCAGAGACGTTTCATTGCTTTGTCCAAGAGAGTTGTAATGCTCCGGGGTATCACTCTAATGTTGCCACACACCATGGAGTATCGAAGTCAGCATGTGCTGGAGATCACAGGCAGATTGATTTTGATTCCCTATCTTAGTATTTTCGCTACGCAGATAGTCGACCTGATTCTTATCACAACAGCTCCAAACACCTCCGACTTGCCCATGGTTGTAATGCGTGAGATTAGCTCTATTTGCAGCACCATCCGTTCAATACGCGATCAACTTAGATATATAATAATTGTACAAGGCATCAAGAATTGCAATGCGTTCAATATGGCTTCCTCCAAAATGGATAATCGACACATTACTGAGTGAGATATGGCGATGAAAGGTGCTCTAAATAGTTGATCCATTGAGACAAGGAGCATTCAGAACAATTCTTGGTAGCCTCAGCACAATCTGCACAAAATAGTGCAGCTGCAACATAAGTAAAGCAATTTTGGCTTGAATTATTTTAAGTTCAGAACAGTGATTTAAACATTTAGACAATTTGTTTATTGTAAAACAGAACTCTCATGATTGTACCTGGTGGACCACCTTTATCAGATTATATTTCAAGTGAATAGGAAATGAACAAAGAAATGATCTCTTTGCCTCTACGATAAAGTTCGCATGGCATACTGACTCAAGCGATACTACAGGACGACAGAGATTGATGGCATCTAAGTTAAATAAGAATCACATAATCCGCATTTTCAACAATGCTGCTGCGGCTTAAAGGAAGCTAAGCTAAGGTCACCGTTCTTACGTTTCTTACAAGAGCCAGTACAAATGCAGCGGATCGCAATCCGCTGCCTTCAAGAGTGCAAAAATCTAACCTAAGGTAAAGAGACTCCTTCGTTCATAATTTAATTGTTTTAGTTGCGGCAGAGCCAACATCAAAAACCTTAGGTTTTACGAATTAATATAGTAATACCTAGATAATGTAGTAGAACCTAATTAATATGCATTACTACTAGCAATCCTGCCACGTCGTGCATTGTGTGATTACATCAACTTGTGTAATCCTCACCTATGAACGGTTACACCATCTTGGGCAACCCGCCCTTTCACACAAAGGGACGTGTAACCCAGTTACTCTCTCAGCGGGCAAAGCCCTTCTTCTTCTTCTGCACATGGTGCATCTTCGGACAGTGCGTCCGCGGCTTCATGGGAAGCACATCCCAAGCCCTCGGCAACCGAGCGCAACACACCGCGTCCGCCCCGGGCGACGGATTTCCGCATCTAAAAGTTTGAGATACTCTATTCCCAGCATGGGAAGACAAGGAGGATGAGGTTCGCCGACGGTGCGACGTCAGCCCGACTCGAATCTTGCAGACACCGTGTCCGTTCTACGACCACTCAGTTTCCAAGAGAAATGGTATATTACCATTAGCCTCGACGAGGCATATATCGAAGCAGCAATTAGAGGCTACCCACATGGCGGCTCTTATGAGCTCGTATCCACGTTCGGTCATAGACCCTCGAGTGGAGTACGGCTTAAGACGCGATAACTCGATCGTTAGGCGTTTACGAAGTCGGCCCCCGGCCGATACACACGCTGAGTTTGATCAGCAAAGCACTCCGAGCTCACTTCTTAATACTTTAGAAAATTTCAATGGATCGGTACCGCGCTCGACTTCGAGCTCAAAAATGAGACGCTCCTGTTCCCGCAGTGCGGACTATTCCGATGGTGCTTGCCCCCACGCTATCAGCAGCTGAGATATCAAGTCACAGAGCGCCATCTTTGATTTGAGTTTGCCAAACTCAAATCAAAGACGACTTCCTGCGTATTGTCGCCCTGCGACTCATGGAATAATCCGTAACGCTCCCGCGAGTTCTGTAATTTATCACACGGGTTACTCTACGACCACAGCGGCTCAGGGCCATAGCTTAAGATCAGCTCATGGTCCTTCGACTTCCCGGGCTACTGTCGAGAAGCGCGGGGCTCACAACGACGCAAAGCGTCAGAGTCGTTGTGCGTAAGGACGCTTGATCTGTGTGGATCACAAACGGTTTAGGCCAAGCAGGTGCACCCTGAACTTGGCAAGTGCATACTTCATCACAACTAATTCCTTGTCGTCTACTGGGTAGCTCCTCTCCGCAGCCTTATACTGGCGATATTCGGACGCGATCACCAGATCTCGCCTCTCGGTGTTGGTTTGCAGCAGTGCACAACCGGTGGCAAAATTCGAGACGTCACATGCGACGCTGAAGAACGATCGGGATCTGGCAAC